TCTGATACAAATACACTGAGACATTAGGGGAGATTTACTAAAACCGGTGAACACAGAATCTGGTGCAGCTCTGCATAGTAACCAATCAGCTTCCAGGTTTTAATCTCAAAGCTTCATTGAACAAGCAGTTGTTAGAAGCTGATTGGCTACTATGAACAGCTGCACCAGATTCTGTGTGCACCAATATTCGTAAATCTCCTCCATTGTGTTTAATTTTAGGATTTTGTAATACCATAGCAAAGATTCTTATGTCATACAATTGTTATGTCTGTAGACTGTCAGTATTAGCCAAAGGAGGACAACAATTTACAATATTAACTCAGAGATTACAATAAAAATAACATTGTGTCACCTCAGAAACTTACAAATATATGAAGATATATATCAAATGCTTAGAATTGTCAGTAAGCAATTTTTATGTCTTTAGACATGAACAAAAATGAAATGTAGGATCTGAGAAAATTACGGAAGAACCTGCCCACGCATTTCCTCAAACACATATCACATGATATTAACTGGTTAGCCAATACAACTTTGCATGGTAATAGGGAAAAGGTGGATTTCCCCTACTGAGACTGAGAAAGTATAGATGAAAACTCAAAACAGAAGCATAAGAAGGAGAATAGAGTAGAATAGAAAGGGGAGAAGAGAAAATGCTGGTATGCAGGGTGCAAGTGAGAAGCTGAAAAAGAGAGACAACTAAAATAGTATTAACGGTGAGAATAAAGTGTTAAGCAAAAAAGAAGAAAGATGGGGGAGAAAGGGGGAGGACCACAATAAAGTAAGTGGAAAAGGTTAGTCCCTAAATATCAAAGTTGGAGGAGGTGTGACCTTTGTGGAGTGAGGAGAGTAATTAAAGTGGTAGTAAACTCTTTTTGTATACTTTTACCTACAGGTAAGCTTATAATAAAACTTACCTGTAGGTAAAATAAATACCTGTGCCGTTCCATCAGAGCACTGTGCCGTGGCCCGGGACTTCCACGTGCATGTGCTGGAGTGACGTCATCACGGCTTAGACAGACAGACAGCCAGAGTTCGCCAACCTGGAAGGAAAACAGGGTGAAGATGGAAGCCTCTGCAAAGGTGACAGCATACTGCTACAGGGCTTCATTTTAAGGGAAGTCCTTCATAAAGTGCCAGTATGCATACTAGCACATACTAATCTATTTTTATATTAGGTGCGATTTTGAATTAAACCTATAATGAGTGTTTTCTAATATTGTGGTTAATTCTTTGTTGATAAGTGTACCATGAAGCCTAGACTTGACCTCCTTGATATTGAGGGATAGGGATTTCCACATCTGGGCAACAGTTTGTTTAGTAGCTATAAAGATATGTGTTATACGTTTTCAGCTTTGACGAGAGTTATGTATGGGTTTGTGGAGAAGGACCTCTTTATAGGTCTTTTTGGAGGTTAACCTGTATTATCGAATGAATTATTGTACAGATCCGTATCCATAAGCACCATGCTTTCAGTCAGGACTATCAAATATGAAGCACATTTCCAGCCTCTTGGAAACTCCTGAAGCAGAAAGCAGGATAGGATGGAATACATTTGGCAATTGAATAAATACTGCTAGATCTCAGTCCACTCCTCTGGATTGAGAGTTTTATTTAGGTCCTGTACCCATCGAGTACAGTATGTAAGAGGGGCTTTGTAAGTGGCTAGTAATGGCGCTAAGAGTACAAGTCCCTGCCCTGCTCCTGTCCTTTTGCTAGAACACTATCCCTCCTGCTGAGGCCAAACCCTCCACCATATCGTGCCCACTTTATGACTCCACATGACATTCCCGGCCATTGTCCTTTGTATCCCAAGGAAAGACTGTCCACACATGAATAAGGTTGCTACACATTACCGATGGTACTCAGGAAATGGCATAACAGTCACATCATATCAACATACATTCCGGAATCACTTGCAGGGACGTTTCCACTGCGAGGCAAGCAAGGCGCTTGCCTAGGGCGTTGTTTTTCAAGGAGGCAGCACCGCCCCCCTGGAAAGAAAGGACACACAAGGCATCTTGCAGGTGATTGACAATGGGGACCAGGTGAGGGCTGGCACTGCGTGAGCTCACTTACTGCCACACTCCCGGTCAGCACAGCACTTGGTGTCAGAGAAGGTTTGCTCCTGGGCTGAGCCGATTGACAGGTGAGTAGGGGCGGACTGACCATTTGGAAACTCGAGCACTGCCCGGGGTCAGTAGGGGGCCCCATGAGATGCCCCTGGTACCTTTTTCATAGGCTTTTTTTTGAGTTTGGGCAAGGACACAGGGGCCCCATGATCCCCTATTGCCCGGGGGCCCCAGGAGTTGTCAGCCCACCCTTGCAGGTGAGCGATCCTCAGCAGCAGAGAGAGGGGCCAGCTTGCTGCAGCTATGACAGTTGTTGCCTGGCAGTGTTGTGTGTAGGGAGGGGAAGGAAGGAGTATGAGCAGAGAGGCAGACACATCAGCAGGAGACAGCACAGCAAGAAGTAAGAAAGGAGAATGGGAGAGGAGGATGGAAGGATGGGATCTGCTGCTCCATGGAGTCTGGGGAGATTACAGCCAGGAAGGACTACAAGTACCAGCTGTACCCAGGATCCTGTCTGCTCTGGCTATGGAATCACAGATCTGTAATTGTACTGCGCACATATTACATCTGCTGTTTATATACTGTTATAGTGAGCAGATCTATACAGCCTTGGGGACTACAAGTACCAGCTGCACTGGGGATCCAAGCTGATCAGCCTAGTCTCTCTCTCTCTTTATATCTCTACCTCTCTCTATTTCTATCTCTCTCTTGATCTCTCTTTCTCTCTCCCTCTTTGTCTCTCTCTCTCTTTTTTCCATCTCTCTCTCTCTCTCTCTCTCTCTTTCTCTCCATTATATCTCTCTCCCTCTATCTTTCCATCGCTCTCTCTTGACCTTTCTTTTTCTCCCTCCCTCTTTATCACTCACTCCTTACTTTTCTCTATCACTCTCTCTTTATCTCTATCTATCTCTTTATTTCTCTTTCTTAATCTTTATCTCACTCCCTCTTTATCTGTCTCTCTTTATCTTTCTCTCTATTTTTATCTATCTTTTGCTCTCTCCCTTCCAATTTAGATGGGGGGGGGGGGTCGATGTTAGTGTTGCCTAGGGCAGAACAAAACCAAAATACACCACAGGTCACTTGACAATACATAGCCAATCACATTTAGTGGATGTTCTGCAGCAGTCACATGTGAAAGCATATGCAGCACTTTAGCAGCCACCTTCCCTCAGACTTCCTCTCCTTTCAAGTCCCACTCCATAGCTCTACCCAGCTGGGTATGTTCCCTGCAGTTACTCTCATGATCCAAGAGTCACTCAGAGGCCTGTGATGTGCCCATTAGGATTTCAGCATTCAGCTCACAACTCTCCTTTAGTCATTCCAGAGACAGGATTGCTGCAGCTGTTCCTACTTAACTTAGTATACCTCCTGGGACTTCTGCCCTGAGCAGGGCCTTGGCTGTGCTGACTACATCTGCTTAGGTTGCTCCCCAACCTGTCTTATATATGGGTGCTGTGTCACCCATGACATCGCTGCAGGAGGGCTCTACCTAAAAGGGCAATATTCAAAGTCCTCCTGCACTTAGGTGAACCTGTGACTAAAGCTGCTAACACCTAACCATATACCAAAAAATGGTCAGCCCAAAATTGTAAAATGTGGTGCTGCGCTAATAAACTATATCTGAACCCCAATATTTAAGTCTATTATTACAATAAATAGATGAACAATATTCCCTTATAATCAATAATAGATAACTAAGTCAAATAAGACATAAACCCCACAACCTCCCCACCCCCTCTCCTAAGTAAGATAATCCACAAATATACACAATATTAATACACATATATTAAATGCCGTGAAACTGAGAAAACTCCTGAATGACAACACCAGTGAAAAAATATAGTGACATAAACGCATGTAAACTTTACATGCCCTGGATAAACTGGTGTAAAAGAAATAATAGTGATCCCACTGGGGGATAAAGACAAAGTGAATCAGTGAAACCACTCCTTGTGGTAAACCTACGAAAAAAGAAAAAGGTATCAAATGAATAAATGCATGTACAAGCTCAAAATAACTTGTGAATGAAAACAATGCCAGTGATCCCAATATGGGATAAATAAAGTGAATCCGTGAAACCACAAATGTGGTAATTAAGAAAGAAAGAAAACATCAGGCTCAATGCCTGTAAATCACTAACAATCACTATATACACAATAGTGACCCCCTACTGGGGATGGGTGAACACCACAAAAAAAAAAAGGCTAAATGCCTATAGATGTGATATGTAACCCCAAATATCTTACTTAGGAGAGGGGGTTTAGAGGTTGTGGGGTTTATGCCTTATTGGACTTAGTTATCTATTATTGATTTTAAGGGAATATTGTTCACCTATTTATTGTATATTAAGTATTGAGGTTCACATATAGTTTATTAACGCAGCACCACATTTTACAATTTGGGTCTACCTAAAGGGGGCCTAGCACCTGATGACACTGTCTGCTGTAAACAGACACTATTCTGTCACAGAGCCACCTAGTGGCAGATTAGTTAACTGAACCTGCCTACAAGTAGGGAGGGGCTTGGTTAGAAATGTTATCTAGGATAGAAGAATATACAGTATATGGTACACCACTCCTTTAGTGGTTAGTTAGTCAAAACTGGATCTAAATGCTTTAAGAGGCAGGATACTTTAATTTTTCAAGAAAAGTTTTTAAAATCCGGAACTCATAAAATAATCAGAATCAACGCTGCTATATGCACCTAGAGTTTGGCTGCTGTGGCAATATGCCTGTTCTGTAAAGGCTGGAGCATTAACCACCTCCCGTAATATGACAGACGCAAGGTGGTTCTCTCGTTCTGGGAGGACGTCATATGACGTCCTTCCATTCTAACCACGCATGCGTGGCTCCTGGAGCAATCGGTGGTGCGCTGTGTCCCTCGGACACAGAGGATCCCTGATCCACGGAAAGAGCCGAAGATGTCGGCTCAGTCATGTGATCAGCTGTGTCCAATCACAGCTGATCACATGTAAACAGGGAAATGCCGGTTATCAGCATTTCTTTCCCCATGAGCTGTGACGCTGACAGCTCTTGAGGAGAGGAGAGCTGGTAATCGGCATTCCTCGGAGGAGACAAGTACACTGATCATCAGAGCACTTATGATCAGTGTGCCCTGATGATCTGTGTAGCCCCAGCAGTGCCACCTGTCAGTGTCCATCAGTGCCAGCTCTCAGTGCTCATCCATGCCACCTGCCAGTGCCCATCAGTGCCACATTTCAGTGCCCATCAGTGCCACATCAATGCCACATATCAGTGCCCATCTGAGCTGCCTTTCAGTGTCACCCATCAGTGCCAGTCAGTGTCACCTATCAATGCCAGTCAGTGCCGCCTATCAGTGCTGCCAATCAGTGCCACCTATCAGTGTGCATCAGTGCCACCTATCAGTGCCCGTCAGTGCTGCCTATCAGTGCCGCCTGACAGTGCCAGTCAGTGCCACCTATACAGTACCAGTCAGTGCCGCCTATAAGTGCCAATGAGTGCTGTCTTTCAGTGCCCATTAGTGATGCCTGTCAAAGCCCATCAGTGCCACCTATCAGTGCCTCCTCATCAGTGCCACCTATCAGTCAGTGTCCATCAGTGCAGCCTATCAGTGCCCATCACTGCAGCCTCATTAGCGCACATCAGTGAAGGAGAAAAATCACTTATTTACAAAATTTTATAACAAAAACTAAGAAAAAATGTTTTTTTTCAAAATTTTCAGTGGTTTTTGGTTTGTTTAAGAAAAAATAAAAAACCCAGAGGTGATTAAATACTACCAAAATAAAGCTCCATCTGTCACAAAAAAATGATAAAAAATTTCATATGGATATAGTGTTCCATGACCGCGCAATTGTCACTCAAAGTGCAACAGCGCTGAAAGCTGGAAATTGGCCTGGAAGGGAGTATAAGTGCCCAGTAGGCTAGTGGTTAAACATCTTTTATGTTATATTGTGACCATGGTACCCTACATTACACTGCAAATCAAATTCCTAATATATACCTGTCAGGGGTATAGCTGGGATCACTGCCTCTGGGTCCATAAAGTCAAGAGGCCCAAGCATGAGTGCACCCTAGCTGGTTGTGTACTCCCAATACATTCTTAACCATAGTAATCACCATTTCTGCTTTGAATCCCTTTTCTATGCTGCAAGCCTTTTTGTAGGCATACAAGCATGAAAACAGTCAGATTTTTCTTTTTTTTTGTATAATAAAAGATTTTTCTCAGTTTAATTAAAAATTTGCACCAAAGTGCTTAATGGATTTCTGTATGAATTTTTAAGGGTACCCAGTTTAAATTTGTTGTGATAGCCCAGCAGCTTTTAGTTGTCTCTCTGCATAAAGAGTTTTGAAAAATACACTGAACAGCATTTCATAGAGGATACCGGAAATATCAGCTACATTGAAATCAGTTTTGGTAAGTTTGCTGTAGTAATTGGAACATTTAATGAGTGAATCATGGCATGTCAGAAAAATGTGGTGTAAGAAATCACCACATAAAACAAAACTGTTACATCAATAGTCTACTGCCCAGGGGCTAAAAAAACACAGATTTGTTTAAGCATCAGTCACTGAAGAAGAAAGGTAAAATGCTTTCCTTAGGAAAAAAACTAAACATTTTACCAGCAGGAATAATACCAAAAAATGCACCCAGGTTTGACCTTTTGTTTTATGCTGCATCAAAGATTGTAGGCTTCAATATGTGTTGTAATGTAGATTGTTGTACTTTTGGTTTGAATAATTTTAATTCACATTTTCCAGCTATATCTATTTGTTGTCAAACCGTTAAGGCCTGATACTGTTTAAAATTAACAAAGCTGTACATAGTACCATTTGACACATGTGCCACAGAAATTTAAAGTGATCTGTGTTTGCAATAAACCTCATAACCTTGCACAAGAAATGAAACATTGATATCTATAGGTGTCCATTCAAACAAGTATTTACCTTCCGGAGTGGAGCAAAGGAGCCTGTTGAGATTTTCAAAACAGAGTAGCTGGGCTTCCCAACTCCCAAGGTACTCTGCAAGGCATGTCCCCATTCAAGGTGTGCCACAAGATCTATAGGTTTCAAGCAGGGACCTCTAGTGCTTGCGTCTTATAAAATATCTGTGACACAAGGCCTAACGATTACATCACAATCCTAAGTCCTCATGCACACTGGACATTTTAACAGCAGCTGTTTTTGGCTTTCAACTTTTTTCTACAGCCAGTAACCCCCCCAGCATGTTATCCTATGTGTCCATGCACACATAGACTGTAATCAACATTTTTTGGAAGAGACGTTTTTTGGCTGGACAAAAAAAAAAACACAGGACTAGTGGGTTTCTAGAGTGGTTTTTTAGCTGTAAAAAAGCTCTAACACTGAAAAACGTGGCAACTCATTAAAACGTCGCAAATGCAAAAACGCTGCTAAATGCTAATGCAAAAACACTAAAAAAAGCTGAAAAACTCAGGTTTTTAACGTGACTTTACACAGTTAATGTTACCAGCGTTATCAAACCACCCATGGTGCATGGAGCCTTATGAAGGGCAGGTTGGTAGTACAAGATCTGTAATTAATATGAATGATGAATGTTTTTTATACAGACAAGGTGAGCAATCTTTTGAAACCAACACTGACAAAGATTCTCACAACTAAGTCCCACAAACAATTTTTCTAAGTATAAAGTTTGATTCACTGTTATCCCAATATGGGCCCAACTTATTCTCATGGCAGATAAAAGATTACATTTCCTTAAGTCACTTAAGTTCTTAAGGAGAGATGAATGGAAACTGATCATGTACCACTGGAAGAGGAGGTATTGGGGGGATCAGGGAAGGACAGCGATGAGGCAGACTTGAAGATGATTGTGGACCAGAGATAGAATAGGCAAAGTTAGGAGCTAAACACAGCTGAAAGAAGTAGGAGTGGCTGCTAAGCATAGATCATTTATAGAGAATGCAGAGTTGGATCTGATCACAACTGGAAGAAAGCTAGGAGTGGCAGCTAAGCCTAGATCGTTGGCAGAGAAGTCGTTGGCCAGATGCTGTTTAATGGAAGCTAGGAATGGCAACTGAGGATGGATTATTAGTAGAGTAGGCCTAGCAGGAGCTGACCATTGTTGGAAGGAAGCTAGGATTGGCAGCTTACCATGGATCATTTGTATAAAAGGCATAGTGGAAGAGGATCACTGCTGAATTTAAGCTAGAAGTGGCATCTCGATGGAGAACACGCACTGGCTGAGAAGGGAAAATGGGAGCTGATCACTGCTTGAAAGGAAGCTAGGAGATGCACCTGAGTGTGTATCATTGGTAGAGGAGGCATAGTGGGAACTGATCACTGTTGGAAGGAAACTAGGACTGCCAGCTGAGCTGCTGGTCATGGTAAAAATCTGCACAAAGCAAATCTGCAAAATCTTGTTCACTCATCTCTAATTACAGCTAAAACTGAACTATATTCTGCAGTAATAAATTATCTCTATCAGATTCAGCTAGCAACTGTCGTCATTATGCGGTTTTCTGGTTTATCTCCTTGTAGGAGTCAGCTGTAGTCCAGAACAAGCTAAAATTTGTGGTTGAGTTGGCAGTATATATGTTCTGCTAAAACTCAGTTTATTGAAATACAGAAAGTGATATTTTTACATGATGCTCACATAGGGCAAAAACAAAGGTAGAAATATAGAAAGAAAGAAAATATTGATATACAGTAGAATGTTTTAAAAAATATATATTTAATTAAATATTTTTACCAATTTACAAAATGCAAAGTCAGAGAACAGAGGAAAAATCTAAATCACATCCATATTTGGGATGACCACCCTTTGGCTTCAAACCAGCATCAATTCAATTCATCAAGCTCTTTTGAAGAAGCACAAAGAAATGGGCAATGTTGAGGACTGTAGAGGCAGTAGTCAGCCAAGGAAACTTGATGCAGAAGATGAAAGGCACGGCATGCTTTCTTCCCTTCAGCATCGGAAGATGTCCAGCAGTGCCATCAGCATCGAACTGGTGGAAACCAGTGGCACCCAGGTACACCCATCTGCTGTCTGGGGAAGTCTGGCCAATTCTCCTTGTGACTAATGTTCATTCTGTTTTCAGAATTGCAACTACAACCCCAGCATTGACTCAATGATGCAATGAAGTGGTTGGGTGTAAAAGTGTACAGCTTGTGTAATTTGTTCCATATTTTGAGTTAACTTATGAATGGGTAAAAAAAAAAAAAAGCAACCAAAGAAATGCAGCTACTAAAATGGACCTGCAGCATTTTTTGCGATCAAGCAATGTCGGTGGATAAACATATCCTCAAGGTCATTATTGAGGTTTATAGTCCAAGCAAAAATCAGTTACTTACCACCGTAGACTTTGCAAATTGTTTAATTGTTTGAATATTTGTAAGCAACACTGACAAACTGAGCATGTCATAGTGACCGATTATGTTTATATAAATTTGTGTTCACTAGCTTTAACTCCATATTAATAAAAAAGGTGTATAGCAAACTTTCCAAAGCTTTCTACTTTATGATTAAAAGGTAGACACACATGGACTACATGACAAAGCCTAGTATAATGCTAGGGTAATTGTGTAGTGTTGATACAGGTTGTTACATAATTCTTAATAAACTGGTCCATGGGAAATTGACAAGCACTTTGTGGATTTTAAGGAGACACAAATCTATCAGTTGGCTTGATTGGTCAAGCAAGCCCTCATTGGGTCTAGCTTTGTTTTGTTGATTGTGATTTGGATGTAGAACTTGCATTCACACCTACTAATTATGGATGCGGGAAGCCTCTCCTCCCTATACAGATACTGGACTTGGAGCATGCTAAAAATGGTACTGCTAACTTTAGCAATGGTGCTAGGGAATCATGATGGTTGTATCTGCCTATGTTCGATTCGGCAAAGGTTTCAGTGAATCTTGTTCGAAATTAGGCAAGAATTTACTTTGAGGTGAATCCAATTTAAATCAAGGCTTTGGAGGGCTAGTAGGCTGTCAAATGAAAGGCATGAAAAGCTGGGCACTGCCATTGGGGACACGTATCAGTGCAAAATTAATTAATTAATTCAGAAATTAATACTGAAGTTTTTGTCATGTAGCTTTAAGGGAAACATTGAAAATACACAAAATATCTAAATACCATGATTTGGGATGCCTTAAAGCTGAGTGTGGTATTACAGAACAGTACAATTTTTACAGACAGTCTCAGTGATGGTGTACACTGGTAATTCATATTTGGCTAGGGAATGTATTTTTATCTTTTACATTTAGCTTGGCTCACTTACAGCAACAGCACCCCAGTCTGATTCATTTCAGTTTGAAAAATGGCTTTATGTCATAGCTTTAGCAGTGGCACATGCCTTTTTATAAAGCAGTAATAGACCCTCTATGACTAA